GTCTTTGTAGTGTGGAACCAGGTGGCTGCCTGTCTGCAGCGGGGTGATTCGGTGTCTTCCGCATGACTCAGGACCTCGGTAGGGCGTGCACAGACCTTCCTGTGTGCAGCGGGCTGATTCGGTGTGTTCTCTGCAACTCAGGACCTTGGTAGGGCATGGGCAGACCTGCCTGTCTGCAGCGGGCTGATTCAGCATGTTCTGTGCGACTCAGGACCTTGGTAGGGCATGAGATTCCATGCTCTTAGATGTCCAAAACTGTGCACTAAATATACTTTTCTTTATAAAGTACCCTGCCTCGGGTATTTTGTTATAAGAACACAAAATAGATAGCATTTCTTTCTATCTGATCTCTCTTCTGTTTGTTTTTGTCCATCTCCCTGCTGGATGTAAGCTTCACGAGAGAGTATCATGTACATCTTACTTGCCTGTTATGGTTTGGGTCTAGATGACCCCCAAAAGCCTCATGTGCTCATAGGCTTGATTTAAAGTGTGTGAAGCTGGAATTGATTCATGATGCAATGCTAGGCTCAAGGGCACTAGGATTAAGTGTGTGAGTGCTACCTACCCTAAGTAGTCTAGATAAGGTAAAAGGGGCAGAAAAATGCTGTAAAACTCTTTTGTTACCTTTGCCACCTGTGCGTGTCACGTTTCTCCTCTGTGATGCTTGTTTGCCATCCATGTCTTGGAGCCAGCAGATTATGGACTGAACCCTCTATGAACTATAAGCCAAATAAACCCCTTCCCTTTTAACTATGGGTGTTGAGTATTTTGTCTCAGCAATGAGAGAAAAATAATTAACACACTGTCTATAGTATCTACAGCCTCCAGAATAATCCTTGCATTTACTAGAAACTGAAAAAAAAATTTGTACTTCATGGAATAACCAAGACAGACACTGACAATGAAAACACTTAATGAATCACCCTCCAAATAAACACTCTGTTCCCAGGACTTTATTCAATGAAAGATTTTTCCCTTGTGGTTATATTTGATTCAGAACTATATTTTCACAATTATGACTGAATTTTTCCAATTTGTATTTCACATCAGACAACTAGACTCTTGGAAAATGTAAAGTTTGTAATCAATGGGGATAAACAAACAAGTTTAAAATCTCCTCTGGGGGAAGCATTCCCCTAAATGCAGGTCATGGATCTTAGGTATGGTCTTCTCTGCTGCAAATTAGCCCCTTTCTGCTTCTCAAAGTTCCTGTCTTTTTGGTAGATTTGACCACAGCATTTTATACTACTTCAAAATCCAGGAAATACTGAGTTAAAGATGCAGAGAGCGTGTTTGTGATCTGTGTTCCTTGTGGCTGAAAAGACCCAAATCCACAGTTGGGTCCCTGGGAAGCCTTTTCTGATTCTCTCCGGCATCTTGAATGATTTATTTCTATGCTATGATACCATTACTCCTTTGACTCTATAATCACTCCAGGGTCCCAAACCAATGAGACACTGAACAGTCACTCAAATAAATGGATGCGTAAATAAATTAAATTAAAATTATATTTCAAAAATTGTAATAAGTGGAACAGGCTTTAGAAACCACCTAGGCAACATTCCCCCAAATTCAATCACTTGCACCCCCTTTCAAAATATTTGTATACTATTAATTCTTACATTTTTCTTTAAAATCAACCTTTCTACCACTTAAATACATTCATATTCCATAAAAATTTAGAAAACCAGCATAGTTTGTCTTAAAAACAGCACCTACCCCTCCCTAAACAAGCGAAAGATAAATAATGCCCTAAAAATCTCCTTATGATGAAGCCCTAAGGCTCAGTACCTTGGAAAGTGACTATATTTCTACACAGGGCCTTGGGCCCATAATCCAATATGACTTGGTGGCCTTATCAGAAGAGGAGATTAGGACATAGACATGCGCAGAGAAAGATCATATAAAGACACCAAGAGAAGATGGCCATCTACAAGCCAAGGAGACAGACTCAGAAGAAACCTGCCAACACCTTGACCTTGGAAATGCAGCCTTCAGAACTAGGAGAAGATGAATACTGTTGCTTGAACAGCCCGGTCCATGCTGTATTGTGAATTGTAGCCCTAACAAACTAACACATTGGGTGTTATTGCTTGCTGGAAAATGCTGAGCCCGAAATCTGCTCCCTTTTAGTTGAAAAGTCAGATTATAAGACTAAGAGAAGTATTAAAGTGCTACTCTCACCAACAGAGACTTTCTCCTTGAAAAAAGTTAGAAGCATTAAGTAGAGTTTAAAAGGAAATAAGTTTTCCCCCTAGGAGACTGATCTGACCCAGGCTGGAATATATATTTTTTAAATGTCAATGTTTTAACTCATTAAACGTTTCTTTCTCACTCACGCTACATGTTCTGCTCTGGTTGGCAGGGACTTCCTCCTCCCAGTCGCCCAGGGCAGGCTGACAAAGGCTTCTTGATCTGAACTTACACCATCTGGAACACAAGATGCCCCCTCTCTCAATGTGTGAGGAAGAGTCTGGCAAATTGTATATGGACTTCTCTGGCCTCAGACCGGAAGTGACACTTACAGTTTCTGCTCAGGTTTTCGTGGATCAGAACTAGCCACACCACCTCACCAAATGTCAAGAGGGCTAGGAAATGCAAGGGGGCAAATGGCTTCCTTGAGGCATGTTTCTTTTCCACAAGACCTGATGTCCAAAGTTCTGTACTTTAAAAATTATCCTGGGTCTGTCTGAAAGTTGCATCTCATACTTTGTAGAGAAAAAATGACCTGGACCAATCTTTTCATTGCATTGCTGAGAATACTGAAGTCAACAACATAAGGGCTTTTTGCCATTACGAACCCTCTTCCAGGTGCACCTACAGCCCAATCTCCTGACTCTGGAGGCCCACACCTAGGATCTTTCCACCCAATCCTGTGAGCACAAGATGGTAGCAACTGGAATAATTTGAGACTAGCTATTTTTGGTGTAAGAACCTTTCATTGTTCTTTTCCAGTAAGATCCTAACTGGGAAATATCTTAAAAGCCAGTACCGATATTAAAGAACATCAAAGAAACTGGTCTCATTTAACGTTTTATCTAGAACATACAGAGACCTTTCCTACTCATGTTGGAGGCAAATACATCCGTGGAATCAATGAAAAAAGTGTGATTGCTCAGTGTTGTCTGGTTAGCATCCAATTATGTACAGTGTATTTATTTTAAATTTAGAAGGCACACACAAGGGACTTCTAGGAATAAAACAAGAAGAAATTGGCAGCGCACTGAATGGAAAAAATTAATGACTTGAAGTACACAGCCTGTGAATCAAAGCCGACAAGAGAGGGAGAGAGGAGTTTGCAGTTATTCACAATGAGCCGTGCTGAAAGTCCTGGGCAGTGCTTGAAACATAGTCACCCTCCACACAGCTGTCACATCCTTTATCTTCATGGTGAGGCCCAGCTTTGCAGGTCACCAATGTGTCACAGTTTCAGGAGTCCAGAAGCAATGCCCCTCAAACAGACTTCAACAGTAAGCTTCCTTTTGGAGAATAAATTCAGTGCTTCCATTTAAGCTTAACCACTTTGTCAGTTTTACTGGGCAAGAGGGGAGTGAAGATTAAGGAAAGGTGATGAGTAAAAGGACCTGGATTGGGGCCTTCAGCATCTCTGCTGATTGTCACTGATGGGAGCAATCAATATTGGTTGAGCTCGTACTCTGTCTCGACGCCTACTATGTGGAAGGAATTTTAGTCCCATGTATTCTGCATAATTCCCTAAATTTGGAGGTAGAAAGACTGCGCTATGAGCAGTTGCTTAACTTGCTCCAAGTCACATGCATTATGGGTTAAACTGTCCCCTCTGGACCTCAGAATGTTGTAGAGACCTGGCTTTCAGGTTCTTGAAAAGCATCAAGTTCAATACACAGTCTCTGTCTTAGAGGGCTTCATAATTAAGTGGGGGAGTTGAGACATTTAATAGCCACTTAGCTGTACTAACACATGACCCTGGTCTCAGCTTTGATCTTTTACCCCCCTTAAGATCTAAGATGTTTCCAATTCTCAGTCTATATTCTAAGTTCAAAACCATCCCCACGAACTGTGACAATTCCTGGGAGGATCAGAGCCCTTTGGTGTTCCTGCTGTCTCTGTCTATAGATAAGCTGCAGGATCATCTCATCATCCCTGTTTACCACCTCAGGGACCCAGACATGGAGTTCAGCCTCTTCCTAGATTCCCAGCAAAGATCCCATTTGGACAAGGCATGTGTGAGCGTGTGGCAGACTTCATTGGAAGTTTGGGAGGAAGAAGGCACAGAGGGGTTGCCAATGGAAAAATATGACATCTTCGGATTGAATGCTTGTGTTACAGTGTCTCCTGGCCTCCCTAATACTAGGAACATTAACACACAATGTCCCAGACCATCCCATGCAATCTGGCTGATCTTCAGTCTCTGTGTGCTTCACACTATTCCTGGGCACCACAGTCCCTCTGTATTATCTCCTGGGATCCAGATTCTTCACCTTCCTTTAGTTGTAGAGCAATCCCTCTCTCCCTTGTCTCTCCTCAGACTCCCTTTAGGGTACCCCCTATACCTCCTAACTCTTCAAGGGCTGCTGGGACCTTCTGGACCTCTGGAGGCTGACCATTTGCCTCAGGAATTTGTCTGTTCCATGAGGCTGGGGTGTTGAGAGGCAGGAGAGACAGATCCCAGAGGCAGGCACCATGGCAGAAGAGGTGAACCTGGGTTCTACTGCATTCAAAAGCCTTTGTGCCCCAGCTCCATACTGCCCTCTTTTTTGCTTGTTTTAGTTTTTATTGAAGTATAATATACATCCAGGAAAATGTGCCTGTTATAGTCAGGGTTTGGCAAGGGAATGCATTAAATATAGGACACATAATTTATAGGATTATTTTATGATAATTACTCAAAAAGTCAAATGCAGAGGAGTGTAAGAGAAATTAATCACACACTAGAGGCCCAAAAAATCCAACTAAGGGCCTGGATTCCAGCAACGTCCCATACAAGTCCAGCTAAAGGCTTGGAGTCCAAGGCAATGTCCCACACAAGTCCAGCCAGTGGCCTAGAGCCCACAGCAATGTCTCATGCTTGTCCCTATTGAGGATCTGCACCTGAAGGGCCCAAAGGCCAGTGGTGGAAGCCAGAAAACCTATCCCAGTGAGATGAAGGATTTGTGCCACCAGGCTGAGGAATCCACATTGGAGCCAGGAAGTGATGCCTACAGTGAAGATCAGAGCTCCCCTGATGAGAACAGCAGCCATTCCCAGCTGTTCTGGAAACAGCGGCCATTCCGAGCAAGGCCCCAAGCTCCTCCGACGAGAATAGCCGAGTTCGCATCAGGAAAACTATCCGCAACAAGCTTCTCCTAGAAAATCAACAGGCCATGATTTTACCCTCCAGTTCTCTTATTATGGCTAATGGTAACAATCCTCAGGTGGATCCTCCATGACCAACCACACTGATTCAGTTCAGCTGGGCATTACAAGTTGACCATTAATTCATCCACTACAGTACCCATCATAGGTATACAGCTTGATGAATTTTTATAGCTAAATGGGCCTGTGCAGTCAGCACTCAGACTAAGAAGCAGAGCAGGCTGGCACCCTCAGCAGCCACCTGTCCAGTCACTACTCCTGTCCCAATAAGGAGAAGGATTATGCCGGCCACAAACTGCATAGATTTGTTTCACCTGGTTTTGTAGTTTATGTAAATGGAATTCTGTGGGCCATGATCTTTCATGTCTGACATCTGTTGTTCAACATTTTATTTGTGAAATGTATCCACATTTGGGGGTGTAGTTATTGACAGATCATCTTGTAGGGCAAAGGCAAAGCTCATTAGAATAAACTGACAGATTAATAAAAGATAAACAAATTTATTAACATGCATGGGGGAGAATCACAGGAGTATGACTACCCCATAACCCAAGCACAAATGCTTATAGACCTTTCTTCATAGGAAAGAGGGAGATGGAGAATGTGACCCTTTCAAGGGGCAGTAAATGATTGTTAGGGGAATAGGTGAATCCAGAGACAAAATTCAGCTTGTAAAATGATTCATTTCAGAGTTCAAATCAGCTTAAAAGAAATTATCTTGTAACCAAGTCATTTTAAGAGTGGTGATATTCCTTAGTCTTCTTTGGTGTGATAAAAAAATGAGATTTTAGAATGGGGTCAGGGGGCAATTTTGTGCTCTTTGGAGGTCTGGTCTTAATGCAGACAAGTGAATATCAGAATAAAGCCAGCACCAGTTGACCTTCAAAATAATTAGCAACTAGGCTGCCATTTTTGAGGTGAAATTCCCTGGGCACCTTTACTTCTCTTGTAATTTTTATGTTGTGAATATGCCACTATTTATTATCTGTTCTATTGTTGGTGGATACTCGGGTTGTTTCCAATTTGAGGTTACATTATGGACTCTGTGTCTGAACTAGTTATTGGCAAAGAGTCAGTGGCCTTGAAGGAGACACTAGACATGAGAGTCATCCATCTATCTATTCATTTAGCAAACATCTACTGAGTACCTAGTGTGCCAGGCATGTAGACAAACATCAGGATGGGACAGCATACAAAGGTGATGTGTACCAGCCCTTGGGGACCTGACCAGTGTTAGGGAGGTGGTGTGTAACAAGCAATTAGGACACAGTGGAATCTGACCCAGAGGTCAGAGGAAAGGATGCCAGAAAAGTTCAGGTTTGAAGCTTCAAACAAAGAGGGCTGAAGAGAGAGTGTATTCAAGGTAGAAGGAACAGCTTGTGCAAATGGTACATTTGCAAAATTGAAGATTCCTATTACTGGGGCCTAGACAAGCAAGTGAGCAGTGGGTGAGATGAAGCTGAAGCGGCAGGAAGGGGCTGGAGCTTCATGGGCCAGACAGCTGTTTTGAGGAGTTAGGACTTCTCTTGACTAGAGGAGTGACATGAACTGTGTGCTCTCTGAAGAGCACTCTCTGGTTGTGGTGTGAGTGGATGGAAGGGGCATCCTACAGGCAGGGGTTCAGGCAGGGTGACGTGTGGCCAGGGTGACGTGTGAAGGTGGTGCACCTGAGCACCCCCACAACTCTGCCTACTGATGTAGCCTTCCCAGTGCAGCCCACAAGGTGACGAACTTGCGATTAATTATATCAAAGTGTCGGTCGTGAGACACAGCTGCTCAGGGATTACTACATTTATTCTCCCACTGCCCTCCTATGACCCAGATTGGGCCCTAGTCTACCTAAATCCAAATTCCAAGATGTTAAATGCTATGTTACATTGCATCTAACTTTGTAAAGGCCTTTTGTCCTGAAATACAAGATGCTATAGTTTGTGACCCAAAAGTTTATGTGCTGGCAGCATGGTCCCAGTATGGGCAATATTTAGGTGTGTTCCAGAACAACTCAGTCTTGGTGTATGAGCACAGACCCCAGTGTGCAGTGAGACTAAAGAAAAAAAGGCAGGCAGATCTAGGATTGCACAAAGTGCCATTTATTGGGAAAATTTATTGACTGAAATGTGATGCCGGGTAACAACAAGATCAGATAGATCTCTACAATTTGGGTCATAAATAGGCACAAATACATGGGTTAAGACAAAAGTGATTTTATCCAAGCCAGAATGTGGCTAGTTTAACTTAAGCTTATATGAAAGAATCAGCCACATCCCTGAAGCCAGGGGTCAGTTTTACAGCTCCACATAATACTATAATG